CGATGTGTCAGGATTTCCACAAGTTATGTACATTATTACATAAGCAACCGGCCTCGGAGTTCTGCCGCGGCTGACGGAAAATACGATCCGGATGCTGCTTGCGGGCATCATCTCGCGGCCAGAACGGGGCTAGAACTTCGTGCAGTGGGAATGGTATCTTACGAGGCTGAAATACGCTGGAAGACAGGTAAGCAAATGAAGCTTGGGGGAAGCAGTGTGAGTCACGAAATTCGTCGTATGTATAGCTAAGTAGGCACAGTAAATGGACAATTTTCTCTGGACGATACCCGGATATATGGCAAGACAGCTACCAGTAGGACGGCCGTAGTCCTGCCAATCCAGACAAAGTGCTTTCCACTCCGGCACCGACAGCGCCTGCGACGGAGCCATCCTCTTTCTTACGATGGCCACCGAGTTCGATGTTGATTTGCCGGTGCAGGTGGACCAGCCAATCAACATAACTCTGTGCCTCATTGTTTCTGTCCTCCAATAACATTCGCGCAAATTCATATTCAGACCCATCGATACCTTGTCTGGCCAGTTGGATAGTCATGGCCTTTGAGCCACGGACTGTACTTAGGTATTGCAGGATATTGCGTACCTGAGCGTTGAGCTGTGTTTCTAGAACCGGGATAGTGGACGTATTTGGGTCTAGAGATTTAAGGGAGTTGTGGCCTGGGCCGAAAAGGTCTTCGAGAAGGTTAGGGGACACGAGTGCGTGAATCCAAAGGATACATATTTGTCCATTTTCCACAATATAGACCCCTCCGTCTTCGATTTTTGAGTACGATGCTCGCTGGCTTGGCGGCACTTGTAACTGCCCATGCTCGTTAGAGAACCCATCCTTGGGATCTAAGTTGTGGATTGGAATAATCCGTGGGTATAGATAGAGAGAAAGCTCTCGGCATCCAAAGGAGCGAAGCATCCGAACATCATGGATGCGACGGTCCGAGGGCTCATGGCCTCCTGTTGAGACACGAGTGTATTTGTTAATCGCCTTGAAAAGCCCTGCTATACGTTTTGTGTAGGGTTGTGTTGCTTACCTTTAAAGGCACGAGACTTTAGCAAGCTCAGCATATACATTGAAAACTCCTGTATATATTCAGGCAACACCAGTTGACCGGGAGGATGTGACAATGAGAAGTTCTTGCGGTAGCTTGCTAGAATATCAATACTCTTCTCTGTTAAACTAGCCCGGATTTCTGATAGGGCCTTTTCGGGAACCTTGGAGGCAGCTAATCGTGACACGTTAGCAACAACAACATTCACCAAGAGAAAAATGAAGATTTGCCTACCTTCTTTCGCAAGAATGGAAACAATGGCATCCTGATCAAGAGATTTCATGGTCTCCATTCCACCATCGTTGACACCAGCTACGATGTTTATACACCTAACACGTCGTTGTCCATTGCCAGCAGTATAGAGAAGGGCTGCCTGGAAATGGGCATCCAGTTTAGGGTCAAGTTTACCATCATAGGTGAACATGATGCCGAATGCTTTATCTGCATCAATACTTCCCATTTCAAGGTCTGAGGCAAATGTATGCTGAAGGAAGTTTCCATGGTATGACGAGATTTGGAGGCCATTTGAGCAACGGACTTTCAGAAGAGCCTGATAACCAGTTTCTCGGGTAATGGAATGACATATTTCCTTAGAGAGTTTCTGGATATCGCGAGGAGCATGGAAATTAGGGTAAAAAAACATTTCTCCTCCAGCAATAGCGGATACATGTCCTAATACAATGAGTTTCCTTATATAAAACAAAGATAAACGGTGTGAAATCGACTTACCTATCGTTGCGATGTCCATATAAGCCCCACCACCTGCTGCTATGAAGAAATCTACACCAATTCCAGTCTCCGCTGCCTTTGTAGCCGTTTTCTTCCACTCGACATGCTCAGTAGTAAATAGCTTTCGTTCGGCGTCGGTTCCAGGGCCCATCCCTTGATCTCTCATAAAGAGACGCCCAGGGCCCCAGGTGGGAAGGCAGCTTAATGAACAAACAATCTTTCCTCCGGTCGACTCCAAGGCGCATAAAGCGGAGTTTAATGTGGGGAGAAGGGCTGGCTCTGGGTACTTAATGAACGAAAATAGAGTGGGTATTTGAGTCAAGAGTGAGGATATGACATGCCTGAGATGCAGTTAGTTTTTGATATAATTGTTGAAGCAAATAGAATAAACGAACTTTGACTCATATGGATCAGCAAACAATCCCTCACTCAAAGGAACGAACGGGTCCTCCAAATCCGGCATAACAATCATTTGTGCTTGTTCTAACTGGGGCTATAGTTATCAAAGTTAGCTTCGAAATTTTGTTGCCGGACAACGCTAGGAACTCGAGTTCACATACACTCAGATTGTAAAAATGGACTTCCTTATCAAAAGTTATGATTCCGATCTTAGATCCCTCTGGTAGATTCCTACGGGGTTTGGATTCACCATCTTCTGTACTTTCAGGTTCCTCTCTATCGCCATCTGATCCGTACAGGGCAGACAACAAACCATCACAACATGCCTCTAAAAATCCCCGTGATACAGCCTCCTGGGAAACATCCAGAAGGAACAGCCAACGCAAGCCCACGGGTTCTTTATTCCAGTATTCCTTGGGGACCAAAAATTCAACAGTTCCCTGCATCAATTCTGGGCGATGTATCCGATCCACACGTACACCTGAAGGGTCAAGTGGTGCATAGTACTCAGGAGCAACTTCGTTGGGAAATGTACACATGTTGCAAATGAACTTATTTCCGCCAGATCGAAAAGTCATAAACGGATTAATGTAAGCTCTGCATCTTCGACATCGAGGGGGCCCAGAATCTCCGAAGTCCAAAACAGGGACTGGTTGCTCTGCCTCATCGAGTGGAGCAAGGGGTTGCAGTATAAGGCCTAACGGGAGCGAAGTTGAAGCAAGCGCCTCCGCGGTAGAAGGGATATTGTTGATGGTCAGTCGAGCAAACTTTGGCGATGAGTTGCCTTGATCATGGGCAACGAATGGAACAGTGGATGGCGGCGGTACGTGCCGTTCCATAGTTGGGTAGGTATGTTCGAGGTAATATTGAGCAGGAACATCGCGAGACCGTGGAACACTGGGTATCTGTTCGGGGTCAACCCTGCCCTGAGTTGGTACAGCACCGTCTCCGACAACGCTGGAGTTCCTTTGCTGCTGCACCTGAGGAGAGCCGAATCCACCATGTGGAGGAGCTACCTGAGGGCTTTGTTGGTTGAGAAATTGTGATGGTTGCTGGGTAGAGCCGGGAGGCATGCCATTAAACGCTTGGGACGATCCTGCTGGGGCTCCAAACTCATGATACGCATGCCTATCTTTCTTCTTATGCGCCCTGGTGGTTCCACCAGCGGAACTTGGTGGCCCTCCTCCAACAATTCCTAGTCCACCCATCTGAGCAGTTAAATTGTGCATTCCTGATTGCATATCAGCTGAAGACTGAACGTTCCCCTGGGGCGATGGGTAGCCCGCCGAAGACGGAGGATATGGGGAGGATTGCGTGAAACCGTGAGGGTGCTGGTATGTCTGTTGAGGAGCACCTCCACTCTGCATGTATCCCGATGGCGGCTGTGCAACCGGAGGAACAAACTGAGGAGCTGCAGGCTCAGTCCGTATTTGCGATTTCATTCTCTCATCGTCTGGCACGGCGCCGTCACCTAGGTTATGATACATCGAGAAGTCGGCCATTTTGGTAGCTCCCTCCACGCGTAAGGAGGGGAATCGGGAGGGCAGTCTGGGATGGACAGGCGTAACGATATATCTGCTGCGGCGTTTCCGCGGTCAAAATTGCGCTATATCATAACAATTCATATCTCAATTGATTCGTAACAAGGACAGCAACTCCGCTTTCTCGTAGTATGGAAACTCCGTCGTCAAAACTGACCAGATCGTTCAATCTCCAGTTCAGTTCAGGACAGATTCTCGGTGACGGAGTTTCTATTTTGCCAGGGAAGGGCTTCCAGCACGTGATTGCTATCTGGCCCCGACTTTCGACTTCCCTAAGGATGTTCCTTTCATTACGGCCGGACTTAATTTCGATGAATATCCCACTTGAATCATATTTAAAAACATATATCAGTTCGAATATTAAATACCCCTTTGCCTGCGACCACATACAACCAGTAGGCAAACCTCTGTTCCAAAAGCCAGAAAAGAGGAGATAGAAGGATCATTACGGTCAAGGACGGTATAACAATAGAACAATAGTGTACCGGCCACTAGAAATGGATTCTGAGATATCTACGTGATTGTCAACGGGTCTGTATGCCGTTGATTTGCCGAATAGATATGATCGAAATATTCGCAAGAATCGTGGATTAACTATCTCCTTTCAGGCACTAAAGCTGCCATACGGTCCAGTATCAAAATCTTCCGAAAGGACTTCTTCAAGGAGTTCCTTAGTACGGGGGCCGCTGTACCGTCTAGTGATTGTTAGCCAGATAAAGTTCTCAATTCTCAAGAGGGGAAGTGAATGTCCTACCTTCTGGCCGATAACCACCACCACGAAAGCGCGAAAAGTGCAATAAAAGTCACTACAACGCTAGCATAATTCCTAGGTTTCAAGTCAGCTTCTTTACCGGTATCCAGAGGGTAAGCGTGGGGCTTCATACATGTTCTGTGGCGTTACGGGTTGAATTGGGGGGAAGAACAGGACAATGCTGATAAAGAGCACCCAACTAATGGAAATCCAATTTATGGTAGCCCCCCAGCTCCCTAGGGTAAAGGGGCCTTCAATGAATTTCACCTTATTCTTGTACAGACGGTGGGCTAAAATGACGCCGATGTAGGACAGGTCCAAACATGGGGCAGTGATGCTGAAGATCGATGATGCGGTTTCAGTAGAGCCTATGGCGATACAGTTGAGGCAGACGGAAAAGAAAACGACAAACCACACCGCATTTACTGGGGTGAGGGTATATGGGTTTACTTTTGCCAAAACTCTGTCATATGTTGTTTGTTAGCGACTCCCTCTCATTACAGTCAATGGCGCATTTCCTTACTTTGAAAATGGCAATGCGTCGTCACGAGCAAAAGCGTATGCCATTCGGGTGTCTGCTAACATAGCAGAGCAACCCGTGAAAAACTGTACCAGGACAGCAAAGGACCACATGATTGTTCCGCCTGTTTTACCTCCAGCGTCTAGGAAGATCTGTGCGGCCGGGAGCCCGGTTGGTGACTTGAGAACAGCCTCAAGGTCAGTTATACAGAAGCACATAGTGACAGTCAGCATCCATCCAAAGGCTCCAGATACTACCACCGCAGTTTGGATTGCAACTGGACCTCTGACAGCAGCGTCATGGGTTTCCTCTGACATACTGTTCAAAATACAGTTAGAAAACCCCTACTCAGCGAGTTTGCAGCATCTTTCATAGGCATCTTACTGAGTAGTTCCATCATAGTCTGTCATCGTCCAAGCAACCGCGATGAAACCAAGAAGAAAAGAGAAAGCCTTTGAGTGCCATCCTGATCCATCGGTAACATTGGTGAACACCCAATGGGCTGACTGTTTGTTTGGGGTAAGAACAAGGAGAGCTATGCATATCCCAATTGATGCGAGGACTACACATGTCAGTTTTATATTTAAAAATTAAAACGTGGAGGGTGGTATATTGCATCACATACTGTTAATTGGTGCAAACCAAAGAATGATTCGATGCAAACTCTTTGTTGTTAAAGAGCAGATGATACCCATTATGCAAAGAAGGGCAATCGAAAGAAGAACAGTCTGAAGAGCAGTCCTATTGTACGCTCCATCAATTGTTCTGTTCCTAATATAACAGAGCCGATGTATGGATGCCCTTAGCACATAAAACAACTTACGGTTTAAAAGAATAATTTCCGTCATCATCCAGATTCGAGTTCATACTCGCAGCAGCCAGTAACATCTGGCTTACTGTGTATGCAACACTCGAAACACCAGCGGTCTGGCCTAGCAAATTGCACCAGCCTTGAATCCACGCAAATATTGGGACTTGCTCTTTCGGGACGACATGTTTAGTCACAAAATACATCCCGCCTGCCGTAGGATAAGCAGAAACCAGCTCTGCAACCGACGAGCCAATGCACATTGCCATTACTGATCCGATTAACCAGCACCATACGGCCGTTGCAGGTCCTCCTGCACTGAGTGGTTGGCCAAAGGTCGCTGGCACAGACCCTAACACCCCCAATATCGAAATAGCATAGGATATTGTTGACCATTTTGAGAACTCACGTCTCATTTCCTGAAAAAAATCATGTTAGACCAGAAAGTCACATTTTAGTTTCTTGACAGGTCTGCCCTGCACTCCCTCCCCCCTATTGTTTCATTGACATGTCGAAAGAAAAGTCGCTCCGTACTTGTTTATACCCGATCCTGGCCAACAGCCGCTCGTCATCATCCTGAATCGTTGCCATCGAGGAAGAATTAACAGCGCTGATTCCTTTATCAGCTATTTTTTTGTCACCAGATCCTTTATGATCTTGCTTAGGTGGTGTCTGAAAAGCAGTTGTTAGGTTCGAATTCATCATGACAACGATTTATTGTTTCTTTGGACCGGTGGTTTATAAGCGCATTGCGCCGGGTATACCGTCTAGTTTCTGCAGAGGTTTGTATATTCTGACAGGAACAAAACGAAATATAGTAAGTATAGAAAATTCTTCGTGAAAAAAATCCTTGTGACGATTTATTCCCTCGACATGTGGAATAGTTATACAGGTGTGGAGTGGTAAAAGATATGAAAGAATGCGGAATCAGTGATAAGGGAAAGCTCCCCGCTTCCCCCGGGAAAAATGAGAAGACGAAGAAGTGCTAATCCCGGGTACAGGCTTGATTCAAATAGAATCCAACGTACCTCTGGGTGGATCAGTGACCTGCGGTGTCTCCGGGCCTTGATCCCTGCTTGTTCCCGCTCTCTCTTTAACGGTGGCACACCTGGGAAAAGGGCCGATCAAGCTTACTCTAAGGAAAGACAAAAACCGCTCCATGCAATCAACCGGGCCGTCGGGGATACGTCTCACTTGCTAGTATCTTCCAGAAACAGGGCTGATAACATTAAAGCTTCTACCGGAGCCAGCAAAGTTCGAATGAATAAAGGTATACTTCAGTGCAGCACGGCTAACATTGCCCTAGGCGTTGGGTAAGTTGCTTTGCCTTCCGCGAACAGTTAGAAGGTTTGACAGGAAGGGCCTGTCTATTTTGGCAGCCAACTGTTATACAGTAGATGTGTTGAGCAAACGTGTGACCGAATGGTTGAGCGATACCTTTAGAACACAGAGCTAGTCATACCAACTCCCCAGGTAAATGTAGAATACTCACTCGGTTAGAGAGAAGCCGCCCAGGAAATTTGGATATGCTGTTCACAAAGCCATGACCCCCTTCAGACAACGTTGTAGGGTGCAGCAAGTTAAAAAAAGATCAACCAGATTACCGGATATTCCCTGGTCATTTGTCGGCCTCCCTCTGCCGTTTTTCTTGGAGAAAATAGCCACGGGGTATATGTTGGCCAGATGTGTTGTTGACGGAGAAGAGACAAAGCTTGAGCGAGCATGCGCCCAGCGACGCCATGAGACTCCATCCTGTCCATGGGCGCCGGGGAAGAGAAGCCAGACAGCCAACTGTCCACCTGCTTAAAAAGTTGTACTTGCGTTCAGTTTGAAACGGACGAGATAGACGTGCCATCTCCAACACGTGGGCCAAGGGTGCAATTTTAGGTCGTCAACGTTTTCGTGGCTTGATATAAAAGCCGGAACTATCCCTGCTAGTCGACCAGTTAGTATATCCGCGCGGAAGGTCAGCCAAGATAAGTAGTTAACTATGTCATCGAAACTCGAAACAATCTTCCGTTGTGCAGCGAATTGATACTGTCTTTGAGGTCGGACGTTTGTTCCAAACTTCCCTATCGCTGCCATGATTATCTGTTCTTTAGGATCACTTAACCAGGTACGGTACGCATAAGCCAATCATGCGCTGCCTTGAGGATCACTTGGATAATAGAATGCGAATGACGTGTTGGGGATAACTATTGACTGACTAGTTAGCGCACAAACAAATCTCCATATGCACTCACACCAGGATCCCTGTGAGTGCAACTTATTTTCCTTGGCTCTTGGGAAAGCTACTATCTTGCTGCTCTCCAGGAGGGCGTCTTACCCATGACGAAGCAGCGCTTGCAGACGACCTCTTTGATAACTTGTTGGGAGGAAAGACGGAAAATAAACTTTTAGAGTTTACCACACCCGATTGGAGGAACCGAGTCTTTTACCATTTTGTCGAATCAGGGAACTCATCTAGTCGGATAATTTAGATCAGACTTCGAAAGAGTCAGGAATTTAATAAAAAGCACCTGCGGTTTTTGTGTGTCAAGATTTAGGAGAAATTCAATGATTGCTATACAGAAGTGAAATCCCTAACTTGCCACCAAATATACAAGCGTACAAATGAAAATGGACTGACTGCCAGTGTGCCGATACCCAAAACCAAAAATCGACAAAATAAACCAGAAAATGTCAAGCGATGATACATGGACCGGAGTGCCGCTGCTCGTTACATAGGCCGGATTCAATTTCAAAACTGCACATGACGCTGCTCATAAGCCTTTCTCTCTTCCTCGATCATCTCAATTGCGTCTGCCAGGTCTCCGTTAGCAGCCTCGGCGAATATACGGAGCCTATTAGCATCTTGAGATCTATCATCGCCGAAACCCAGGGCTCTCAATTGTGATAGACAGAGTTCTGCTGGATCGTTTGATGATGCTTCCATTACAGCTGCCGTCGGAGCTTCGCGGGGGAAAGTTCCAGGAAGGTCCGAAGGGTTTTCACAAGCAGCGCTAATCTCTGCTAATTCATGGCTGCTAAGCGGTCTTTGTGGGTGGGGGTTATTTCCAAAAAGGCTTGGGCGCGGTCTCCGCACACGTTCCGTTGCACTTCGACGCAGCCCAGGTACGTTTGACGCGGAAAATGGGGATGCGCGGTGGGGCTGTGGATTGAATGGGCTAGAAAGATCCGATAGTACCGGGGGATTAATGTGGTTTGGGTCACGAGAGGTGCCCTGTTCGCTTCGACTTTCATGAGCATTGGGCCTTGAAGGTATGCTGCTCTGGCTATCCTGGTCCCATGGCCATGATCCTGGGATTCGACTAGGAACTGGGGGTGCTAATTGTTCTCCAGTTCTAGCAAGGTTAATGTTATTTTCATAGGTAGTGCGAGGCCTGGGGGCTGGCCAATCTGGGGTTGGCCAAGGGCCGCGCATAAAAAGATGCTGCTGTTCGAGCTGTTGCATCGAAGGGTACCGACTCAGTCCGCAGTCATTGTCGTTAGGTTCAGAAAGGAGACTGGTCCCATGGTATGTATCGGGTGGTGTTGGCCTTGTGCTGAGATTGTCGGTACTTTGAGATGCAAAGAGTGGGGGATATCGTTCGGCAAGGTTTGACTCGGATTTATCAAGTAATGCAGTGTTCGGTTGTGTTTGAGTATTGCCGTGCACCTCAGGAATTGGGATAGTGGCTTGCTCACATAGGGATGACGTTGGCAAATTTTGCTCCGAAGGTACGATATTGCTAGTGTCATTATCTAGCTCACTCACTGGAACGAACGATGGATAACCGGGCCTCCTGGTATTAGTTGTCAAGGGTGGAAGTTCGGGGGTAGGGTGTTGGATACCGGTGCCAGACGACTCGGCAGCATCGTTTGACCCTGGGAATGAATGCTCATTTGCGGGTTCAACGTTAATGGTATAATCACCAATGAGGTTTCCTCGGAGCGCTTGCAGTGCTGCACCTGCAGCGTAGGTAGAAGGGAAATGAACATAACAGAAGCCAGCATGCTCGCCTGTTAGACTATCTCTGGGAAACGTCACAGTCCCAACGAACCCCTGGCTTGCAAGCACAGAAATGACTGAATTCTCCGTGGCGTCTGGAGGCAGGTTACCAATAAAGATGTCTTTTGTTGCAGGGTTAACTGCTTCAGGAGCTGATGATGCGTCCGTCGTGCCTTTGTTAGCACTGTTATCCTGTGGCTTGAGACTTTTCTCAACACCTGCAATGAGTGAGCCGCCGATATCTCGTATATCGGATGCAAGAATCCGCAATTTATTCAGCTGAGCAGTAACCACTTTCTCTGCTTCGCTGGTTGCAATGGAGGATGACCTTGCCGATGTAGCGGCCTGTTGCATAGCTCCTGCTAAAGTTTGAATATGACCCCCCATGACCTGGAGGGATTCGTGGATGGTTGCTTGCATCTGATCGGGGATCTGATGATGCAAGTCTGTAACTCTCTGCTCAACCTCAGGCAACCTGTCTGCTAATTCGGCTGTAAGGATGGCTACTCGAGATAGGAGGGATTGGAAAGACTTTCCAAAGACTGTAACAATATGAGATATCGCTTCCGAGGCCTCTGTAGCCTGGCGTGAAGTCGGCTGAGCATTGGTGTTCTCCGACGGCCCTATTTCCGGCCCTTGCACGGCTGTAGAGGCTGAGTCGGAAGTGGATTCCTTAGCTGCTGCTGCTGCTGGCTCATCAACATGCTTAGGATGTGACTCCAATCCTGAGTTTTGTGCCATGAGCCGGGATAGCTCTGCTTCAAACTCCGATAAGAGTCGTTTGGGGGATGGTTCAATAGGGGATTCTGGGCTATCAGGCTCCCTTTCTCTTCTGCTAGGGGAAGGTCCAGAAAATTGATGAGTTGGTTTGTAGGTGCTCCAGAAATCTCCAGAAGTACCAGTCGTATGGCCTTCTTCTAGTTCTGGACGGTACGAGCCACGCCAGTATGCCTTATAAATTTCGCGCATACGTTTCCCAGCAGCATACGCCTTAAGAGGGTTAGTTTGTCCACGTCAAATTGATATCTGGAATAGGCAACATACCTGCTTCTTCCCCTCTTCAGTGATAAACTTACTTTCCGTCGAGGCACCTTCACCAAATGGTTCAAGCTCTGTATCATGGTTTGGGCCATTCCATATACCGGATGACGTGTCCTTCATAGGAGGATACTGTTTATTACTTCCCATATTCGCTACTGCACCTAAAAAGCTTTCATGCTGTCCTGAAGGGGCGCTCTCATTCTGGGTATCTGCTTTAACAACAGATGGTTTGTTTGTAGTGGATCGGGGGTCTAGGGGGGCAGTCTTCAGGCGGTAACTCGCATTTGAGCGAGAACCAGTGCTTGGGGGTATTAGCTGACAGGACGGTTGCCCCGAGATACTGTTGGTCACAGTTCTCAAACGAAAGTTTCGCCAAACGTCTACCACTGGCAGAGTCTGTTGGATCTCAAATGTATGCATAACAGGATCATTTTCAGCGTTGAGTGTGCTCAAAGGCAGGCGATAGCTATTTGGTAGAAGTTCACCAATAAGCTGCGAAAGTTCTAATGATGAGCCGACCTAATAATAATAGCATCACCCAGAGTCAGTACAAAAAGTGCAGAGGGCGGAGAAATGCTGAATATAAAGGAGCTACTTACAATAACAGTTTCACCATCATCCTCATCCTGGTATTGGAGTCTGGCTTCCGGAATTTCCTCTATGGTTCGGTCATACTCTTTTGCGGTGACCTGGACTACTCCATCGCCTTGGACTTCGAACTCCGCCCTGTGTTGGTTATCCGGACTTAGGATCGAAGCACTATCAGACTCGAGGCCATCATCGTTTCTAGAACGACGTCGCCGGTGTAAGGGGTGTCCAACGATGCCCTTTATACGAAACGGCGGTAGCATCTTGAATTTCAAAAGCTATGTCGGGAGAGTGGTCTGCCAAAGGGAATAGTAGTGACGCCCTGGAGATGGGAACGTTAACAAAATAAATGCGATGGATATACTGCAGCCTGGAAGAAAATACTAGCGCATGTATCTCAACTCAAATCAACGATACGCAGGGGTGATATTAACGGGCTGTCTGGTCCAGCCAACGAGGAGAATCTGACTGCCTGTTCTGGATGCGTGGTCTGGGGCGAATTCACGCCACCACTCTGCCGGAGTATCTCGCCCTGCAGGCTTCACCGGAGGCTTACGTAGCTGTACGCAACGGCACGGCAACGGAGCAGTCTTCAACGCCTGTCTCATGTACAAAATAACCGATGTAGATGTTGGATGCCCGCCGTTGCCAGGCAGCAGCAATACCGGGGCGAGTTAGGTGTCGTCGTCCCCCCCATACGAAAAGCGACTCCGACGAAGTTCGAATTTCTTTTCTTTTTTAAGGCGGAGCAAAAGTCTAAAGCCCCCCAGTTCGTCATAAGGGACCCAATTAGTCACTCATTAGTCATTAGCTTTCGGATATACCTATCACCGAGGACGAGAAGCTCTCACGTGACTCTAAAATGCTTTGGAAGGTTCGGCTGCCCGATTGGGGAAGAAGGCGAGGATGGACCAACAGTCAAGACCTTACAACAAGTCAACAAAGCCGAGACGAAGGCTGAAACTGCGCCTCGACTCCTCGAGAGAAAGAAACTCCTCTTGTCCGTCGCCTTACCTTCGCTCGCCAAGTCCTATCTAATGCGCACCTAGGTGACCGCGAATAATACGCACCCAGGGTGGTTGCGATGCCAAACAGCAAACCGTCACAGACCTTGAAAAACCATGTCAATCAGAATGTGAAGCAGGTGGTCCTGGGGAACCTTCAATTTAAGGCGTGGTTCGATTCGCGTTACCCTGAAGAGCTAGTGAGACCTGGCGATGGAACGCTGTACGTCTGTCGGTGGTGTTTCCGATATACATGCGACAGGCAAGCATATCTAGGCCACATGCCCACATGCACAAGCAAGGATTCACCACTCGGTACCCAAATCTACGAACATGGCGGGTATTCAGTGTGGGAGGTCGACGGCGAGGACCAAAAGCTCTTTGCTCAGAATCTGTCTCTCTTTGCGAAGCTGTTTCTGGACCACAAGTCCGTCTTCTTCGACGTGTCCTCGTTTTTATACTATCTTCTCGTCTATACGAATCCTGCCGATCCGGATGATTACCATGTACTGGGCTTTTTCTCAAAGGAAAAGATGTCATGGGATGCTAATAACTTAGCATGTATTCTCATTTTCCCACCTTACCAACACAAGCAACTGGGCAAGCTCTTGATGGGTATTAGTTACAAACTGAGTGCGTGGGAATGGAAGGATGGAGTTATTGGTGGACCTGAGAAACCTCTTAGTGAGATGGGTCATAAGAGCTATGTGAGGTTTTGGGAGGAGAGGATGGCTAGATTCCTCCTTCATGTAAGCTCCAGCGGAGTGAAGGACGAGCAACCCAAGACCAGTAACGCAAAACCACCGCCTGCAAAGAAATATAAGAAGAAGCCACCTCGAGAGCGGATGTCAATTCATGATATTGGGCAGGCGACTGGGATGTTAGCCGAGGATGTCCTCACGGCCTTGAATTCAATGGGAGTTGTTCAAGCAGAGAAGAAACCTGTGAAACGGAAACGAGCCTCACAACCGGAAGGTGACGATGACCTCCCAACTGCGATCATAAAAAGGTCCAATGTCCTGGAGTGGTCGAAGTCACACAAGGTGAACTTACGGGATCCCGTCCATGATGAAGGATTCGTAGGGGAATGGGCCACTAGCAGTGACAAGGAATCGGATTGAGAATGGCAAAAGTGACCATCTCAGTAACCTTTTTAAAGGATAAGGAAAGAGAGTTTATCATACATACTCTTTCCATTAATATGGGGGTATACTCAGGCATGAGTAAAAGGTATGTGCCCTACCACACGTGCAATATACATCTACCTCCTATTAATATGATACCACTAGTGGATATTACCTGCGAATGCGGCTTATAATAGACCTTGTGTTGAATATCCCAACATTAAGTGCCTCAGGGTGCACGCTCATGCACTCTAGTCCAGGTGTTTAGTTATGCAGTCATGTCGCTCCGACTACGAAGTATAACTAACTCTAACACTATACCTATCGGCTTTACCATCACTTTACCTATGCGTGATATCCAATATCCATGCATATCCATTGATACCGTTTGGTCGGTATGGTCAGCTTACTCAGTACAGCGAAGCCTTTCGTCAATTTAAACATGGGTTTTCAACCGGGAACCGATAATGCGAAGAGGTTCCAAAGGATTAAATGGGCGTATATATTGGCGAGCATGTGTACTAAATTTTGCTGATATTTAAGCTTAATACCAATAGCTAGCCCACTGAGGTGAAACGCGATTGAGCTCTGTTATCTGGTTTTGGCTTTGCTAGCAACATGGCTATGGCTTTGGCTTTGACATCTGGGTGGCCTACAGATCTCTTCCTGTTTATGGACGATGAGATGGTTTATTCATTATAATAAGCCGTCTGCGCACTTGATATACTACGTGGTGGAATATAGATAACAAAAAGGTGTGCGCAAAGTAATCTATTTTTTGGCATTATCCTAGAGGACCCGATGGATATCTAAGCACAACAGGCCCCAACGATTAACTTAACCTTTAGAAAACCACGCTTTTACTCTTCCATTCCCTGTGGACCGCCTTGTTTACCCATCTGTCTCGCCTTGAGCAACTCGTCACACAGAAGCAAGTTGGAGGCAATACCGGCACTAGAAGCAATGCAATTCCTCAATACCCTGAATGAATCAAAGACACCCTCCTGGACAGGATCCATGGGGTTTCCAGTGACAAGGTCTAGACCGGCAATGTTTCCTTCCGAATGTTCGTCTTGGAGGACAGCGATTGATTCTTGGATGTCATGACCAGAGTTAGCAGCCAAAGTCTTGGGAATGATGAGTAGTGACTCCAAAAAGGCGTCAACACCAAACTTGGATTTGCCCTTCACTGTCTTGCGGAACTCCGCTGACTTCAGGTGTTCAGCGCAAGCGATCTGGAAGGATCCTGCTCCTGGAACAACGGCCCCGTCAACAATGGTGTTGTAGACTGAACGTAGTCCGTCACGAGTTGCTTCCGTAATCTGGGTGATGGTGTGTTGGTTTGGACCTTTGATAAGAAGAGTCACAGACTTAGGGTCCTTAACCTCCTCGATGAAGGTGTACTTCTCCTCACCAAGCTCATGCTCGTAAACAAGGCCAGCCCAGCCGAGGACATCGGGTGTGAGGTCGTCAACACTATTTTGTGCAGTACCACCGCACACTAGTTGTAGGCGTTCCATGTTTCTCCTCTTTGCTCGGCGCAGAGCAAGAATGCCATTCTTCACCAGGACATCCAAACTCAGGGGGTCGATACCCTTTTGATTAATGACAACAAATGACTTCTTGGGGTCGTTTCCACAGACCTCCTTCTTCAAGTCCACGATTTTCTTTAGTTTGGCGTCAACAAATTTGCGCTCGCTTTCCACAAGCTTATCCCTCTGTTCGGCAGTCGAGTAGAAAAATCCGGAGTTAATCTCGGACTTTTCATATTCTAGACTGACATTGAGAGTCAGAATAAAAGCGTTTTCTACTCGCTTGGGCATATCAGGATGACGCGCTCCGTGATCCAATGCAAGACCTCGAATGAGCTTAGTATCGGAGGCAGTGCGGTGCTGCATCTTCATGATCTCAATCATATGCAAGTCTGGTTTAGCTGGGGCCTTGTATATCGCAAGGACGGCGTCAACAATGGCGGGTGTCAATTTTTCTGCAAGGGTACGGTTGAGCTTTGTGGCAAGAGATGTCCGTGCTACTGATAGCAGGAGCTCTCTATCGATATCTCGCTTAAGTTTGAAAGACTCAAGGAACTAGAAATGTGTAACAATTAGCTAAAGAGCCTATGATGGAGGACCTTGCAACGTTTACGTACCTTTAGAGCTTCATCCTTAGCAATCTCGTATCCGTCAGTAATGACCCTAGGATGTAGGCCTTCGGAAATATGTCGATTAGCTTGTTTGAGCAATTCTCCAACAAGCAAGACCACTGAAGTGGTTCCGTCGCCAGTGATATCATCCTGTGCAGTTGCCGCTCTTGCAATCATCACCTGAAATCCCGCATATCAGTACGTGTATAGTTCGTGAAGAAGGATTAGATTATATTACCGCTGTCGGATTTTGAATTTGCTATATCAGATTCAACATTAGCAGTTGTAGCGGTAAGCGAGGGTGAAAACGTCTTGACAAACCATTTCTCGCAGCAGGACATTCCCATCTTTTGTAAGCTTAATCTATATACCCGTCGAGTGAGAATGCTGCCGCAGCATATAATTGGAGTAAGGGGAGTCAAACGCATACCGATCCTGCGCCGTCGACAAGCCTAGATTCATTATCACCACGGAGTTAGTCAACAGTATATATTTAAATAATGTGCGTAGAAACCCCACATACATCTTAATGGTGCCAGAAGGCCCTAGATTGGATTTGAGGACATCTTGAAGACCTTCTCCGGCACTGATATTGACCTTTAACGCTTCTCCTCTCCGCTATATATTTTGTTATTTATCGTGTCCCATAACATGGTGGGATAGAGGATAGAGGGGGGGGTTAGCAGTATTACCCTGGACTCCGCCTTTGGGTTCAGCAACTGTGTTGCGGACATGGCGATAAAGATAGAATTCCCGTATTTAAATAGACCTTCCGCCTGAGCCTGGACAAACCTCGACAATCCTCGTAGAAATGCTGGTAAAACCGCTTCGCCAGGTGTTTTCTTTTCGTTCCGCCAAAGAATCCCAAAAGTGCCAAAAGTAAAGTTCAAGCTCGAAGCTCTGCGCACATTTCCCTTTCGGCACTAGCGCGTCCACAGAGACAGCGAAGGGAAAAAAAAACTTCGACTTTTTTTTGCTTCTTGCGATTTTTCCAGCTTCAAACACTCCAATCCAACGAAGCTCGTCGAGCCGCCGCCAATTGACGGGAATCAAACTGCTTAAGGATACAGTTGCTCTCTCCGACATGGCGGACTTTCTTCTCTTCGAGGGCCCCGTGGGCTACTCGCTTTTTAAAGTTATTCACAAGCCCGATTCTGTCGGAAATAGACTGAAGGAGGTTCAGGCTGCTAACCAGGACCTTGCGAAATTTGGGAAAATGGTTGAGGTCGTCAGTTTCTTGCCATTCGAGTACGTTTTTTCCCTCCATGCTATTCGTTTCGTTCGCGTGCTAATATGTGGTAGGAATAACAAGCAAGCGCTCAGCGAAATTAACGACGTATCCGAAGGTGTTGCTTCCGAGACGTTAATCTCGTTCCTTGAACTCAATTTACCAAAAGCGAGCAAGAAAAAGAGTGTGGTGATGGGTGTCTCTGATAAAGGTCTGGCTGGTAGCATCAAAGCGGCGTTTCCATTCGTAGAGTGCGAAACTGGCGACACCAGCGAGGTTGTTCAGGATATGCTACGAGGGATTCGAATGCACTCTGGAAAGCTTCTTAAACAGCTCCGTGAGGGTGATATCAATACTGCGCAGCTAGGTCTTGGTCATGCCTACTCTCGTGCAAAAGTCAAGTTCTCGGTCCAACGCGACGACAACCACATCATCCAGGCTATTGCTATTCTGGATCAATTGGACAAGGCCATTAACACTTTCTCTATGAGAGTGCGAGAGTGGTACTCATGGCACTTCCCAGAACTGGTTAAGATTGTATCTGATAATCACCGTTACGCTCGCTGCGCCCTCTTCATCAAGGACAAGAAAGACCTCTCTGAAGATAAGCTCCACGATCTAGCTGCCATTGTGGATGATGACGAGGGTATCGCTACTAGCATCATGGATGCCGCCAAGCACAGTATGGGTCAGGATATCACAGGCACAGACATGGAGAATGTCATTGCTTTCGCCGAACGAGTTGTCAGCCTTGGAAATTATCGCAAGAACCTCCATGCATACCTGGTTAACAAGATGAGCGTTGTTGCTCCTAACTTGGCCACCCTTATTGGAGAGGTTGTTGGTGCTCGCTTGATCTCTCACGCTGGAAGTTTGACTAACCTATCTAAATACCCTGCCTCAACTGTACAAATTCTTGGTGCTGAGAAAGCCCTTTTCAGAGCTCTTAAAACCAAGGGCAATACCCCCAAGTACGGTCTTCTATATCATTCCTCTTTTATTGGCCGCGCCGGTACCAAGAACAAAGGTCGCATTTCACGGTTCCTCGCAAACAAGTGCTCTATTGCGTCAAGGATAGACAACTTTTCTGAGACACCATCCACAGCATTCGGAAATGCTCTTCGACAACAAGTAGAAGAAAGACTGGAATTCTACGCCTCTGGAGCTGCTCCTACCAAAAATGAAGTCGCAATGGTATGTAGAGATCGACTTAATGATACTATTTTTACACTGCTGACTGCTTTACTCTTTAGAAAACTGCTATGGACTCTATCCTTGCTGATATCGAGGTTGACGGTGACGGCGATGAAGATGTTGAAATGGAAGATGTTGACAAGGCTGAGAAGAAGGAAAAGAAGGAAAAGAAGAAGGACAAGAAGGAAAAGAAAGAGAAAAAAGAGAAAAAGGAGAAGAAAAAGGAGAAGAAAGATAAGGCGGCCGGTGCATCTGATGCTGAAACTGATGCTACACCTAAGAAGAAGCGGAAACACGACGCAGAAGCTGGATCCGAGAAGAAGAAGAAACAAAAGAAGTGAGCCTCTATGGGTTGGAGTCTTTGAATGGCGTTTTAGGAAGGATTGTCTAGTCCCATGTCTATCTGTTTATATGGAAGGATTGTCTGATTTCATTTTTGTGTATACTTACGGCATCATCTCGTTCTTAAATGGATATCGGTGAGCATTCATTCGTCTATTTTCGTCCTCGCATTCTCTCTCTTGAAGCACTTGAAGGCCTTGCTTAGTAAGCTTCTCCATATAAAAGGAACTTCCTGAACTTAGAGGCCAAACAGACTTAACTATCACAATATCAAATATCTTGCAGTCAAAATCATGGAAAAGCTCACATATTCCGGCGCAAAGCTACTCAAACAACACTAGCTGGCACTGGTTAAGCTCATGCAAATCATACTAATTTCATGGGCATGAGGCACATTTGGTGTCGTACCTCCTGAGTGGCTTTATGAAATGAGTCTGAAGCAGCTTTCTCAACAGCATTACATAACTATACCCTGAGAAATGGAACAGAGAGTGCTATCCGTTCATAAAAAATCTCTAAAGCGCAAACATGACGAATCTGATCTTAGCGAAGAATCGGTTTCGCCCCTATCAAGTCCAGATCAAGCTGAGGAAGAAGGCAAACCTGAGATCATTGACCAGGCTGATGTGAAGCCACCTGGAGCTTATCTTCATGGAAATGTTGCTAATAAATTTCGGGATCTTGATATACGATGTCGAACCACTAATAACGAGGAACTTCGACATCGCCCTCCCCCAGAACACGACATACAGTCCCAAAAGTCAGAAATTCCTCCAGAGATTCCCACACATGGAAAAAATTCTAAAATAAGAGAAGATGGTGATGATTCCAAGCTTCTATATTCTACCGCACACTCAACATCGTTTACCAACGAAGCCACTCCGAAGAAAACAGACCCGGTGCGCCTAGAATCACCGCCTCCTACATCAAATGGAAATGCTGATGCAGAGGCCACTGAAGAATCATTGACCTGGGATGAATCAGAAATCACGGGTCATCATGCCACAGATCCTAATGACGATGGATATGGTCTTAATGGAATCGGGTTCAAACCATCAGCTGAAGTGGCGTGGGCTAGGTCCCAGCATCGAAAGGATCAGGTAGCTGAATGGAAGAGACGTATGGCGAGTGAGGCACGCGAAGCTCGTAGTAGGCGACGACAGAAAGACGAGGATATTTGCAATGCAAGCTACATAGCAAAAGGCTCCCCTAAACAGAAACGAGTCAAATTTGATGCTTAAGCATTTGTATAAAAAATGTTTTACAGATTATCAACATTAGAGAGGGGTTTTTGGAAAGGACGGCTATTTTACAGAGGTGAATAATGCTCATGCAGCCGTCTACTCAAATGCTATACCGCCGCCAGTCGCATTTATCGTCCTGGAATGCCCGCAACCCAGACGCCGAGACTCCCAAGGTATATAAAAATGTCATGGCCCAATTAACTACCAGAATTTATAATTGGATAGGTTTGTCCAGCTCTTCCGGCGTGCCTCCTCTGCTTTCCGGGCCTCTTCTTCCTCGTGTAACTTCCTGGCAGCTTCCCTCTCCTTTTGTTTCTTGAGCTTGAGCTCCCTCATGAGCTCTGCTGCTTCTTTCATTCCTTCGCGCTCAATGGCTCTCTGCCTCTGGCAGTATTCGTGTGCAGCCAACGATACAAGTGCAAAAGAGCCAACAGCCCAGTTACTAGCACTCCATAACGACTTGAGACCTAAGATAAAGTTAACCTCACTTGTGCCTTTCTGTCTTCATCAACTTACACCAATCTGCCTTTATAATCCCGCTTTCGTACCTCCAAGTATAGCCCTCAAACCGCCAACACCGAACCCTGTGCCTATTCCCAAAAGAAGAGAATCTCTCGCGCAAGGTGCTTTGTATACCGATGCAAACTTCTCGAGGGATAGCGATCTTAGCGAATCCATAACCGTGACTTCCTTTGGTTTACCACCCGCAGAATTATAGGTGCCACCAGGCATTAAATTGACCGGTTCTTTGGGGTTTCCCAGCTCCTCCCATAGCTTGCCCACTTGCGACTTGGATATTTCATATCTCGTCTTTCCGTCCGCCGTAGTTGGTTCCGCCTTTGTAGGAGCTTCCGCCTGTGAAGCTTGATCCCGGGAATCTGCTGCCATGACTATCCTTGTTGCTCCGAGAGACGACTTGTTGTTACCTCCTGCCGTCAAAAATTCTTCCCCGTCTCTTGCGTCCCTGGGAGAGAGAAAGCTTCACGCATGCCAAGGCGTGCCTTCTGAAAATGGAATATTTACCCGCGCCGCTTCAATTAAACAAACCTTAAGAAACGCGACGAAACGCGCCAGACGCGATTAAATTGATATCTCAGAGTTTCTTCCTCGACATGAACTTTTTGCCGTAAAGCGCTCTCTTCCGGAAGGGTTGTTGCTTTCTTTCGATG